AACTGAATGGCACCTCAATGTCAATGTTTCCTGGTGTGGGGTGCTCTACCCTCCGCAGCAGGGCCATCACTCTCTTCTGTAAGGTGGACCGGCCTGTCCAAACAAGTCCAACATGTTATTGGAAGAAATTGGAAGAGGAATACTTCCCAACAATCCAACATGGGCCAATAGGTCCAGAATACAAACAAAGGAATCATTAAATATAAGGATACATCCACAATGTTGAAGAAGACCCCAAGACTGGCATGTTATCATTGAATACAAGGACAGTAAGTGAACCTCGTATGTTGCAGATATCCTAACTCTGACGGCCATATTTTGTAGAGTGAGCAGCACTTAAACACCACAGCTAACTAGGCTGAGGCTTTTTCCACATTGCTTTCCCAACAACTGATCCCCTCAGGATCAAACATACTCCGATTCAACAAAGCGCAGTAATCTAGGTGTCTTGGAATTTCTGAAAATGGTTAAATACATACAAATGTGTTTATGTTTGCTATGTTTGTGATGTGTGAGGTTTTTAATATAATGAAAAGCAATAGTTTCCTATGTCAGAATAAGAGTCACAATATTTTATTTATCCCAGTGGAAATTGGTTGGGTTTTGTGACGGTTGTTTTTTTAGTTGTTTTTTTTTTAAAGGCGAGGTGCAGTGCTGAGTGCTTGACCTGGTTGCAGTACTCCTGGTGTGGGCTGACAGTACTGACCTGTCCCCATCATGTTGCTGACGGAGGCCAGCTCACTGAAGGTGGGGTAGTTGGGCAGGATGTTCTGGACGGGCACCTCGTCGGCGGCGCTGCGGATGTCAGCCTCCTCACAGAGGTGGCGGAAACACGACATGGCCACCAGCACCGCCTCTGTGTCCGGACTCCACAGGAACATGTAGAGCGACACCTCCAGCTTGGTCTGAGCCTGCCGGCAGATGGGGATCCCTCCGCCCATCGTGGCACACTCCTGGAGCAATCAACAACCAAATCAACATTTCACACCAAAATGTGCCATAATGCAAGGGGCTTCAGAATGACAAACCTTTTGGAAAAATAACTTTTTTTAATGAATTAAAAAGGGTAATTTTATGACAAAGTATGTCATTTTGACAAAAAAGTAATCATTTCACTTTTCCAAAAGAAATTACTCAAATTTTCTATAAAAAAATGAAAAAGAATGCCGGAAAAAAAAGGAATTGTCAGAAATGTGGTTATTACTGAAAATAAAAGCATTTTTTCAAAAATTAAGTTATTTATAAAAGTGCAAGTGAATTTATTTTAATTAGGTGATTCTCTCAACATTTTCTAAAACGTAGGTCAATATTTGTGTAGCTCATTGGTTGACTTTGTGTTACTAACAGAGCAGCTATAGGACTGTACCTTGTTTTTGAGCAGAAACTTGTTCCTGCAGATCAGGATCTCCCTCAGCCACTTGAGAACTTCTGTCCCGTTGACCAGTTGGTGGCCAATCAGTTTGCGGCAGATGAGGAAGAGCAACTGTGAGCTGAAGAAAGAAACAAAGAAAGGAAGTTAGTGAAGACTGTACCACAATTAGTGAACTTCAAGCGAAAAAGTCTTACTGAACATTTATATATTCACCAAAATCAAATAAAACACCTGAAATATCCTTCTTCGCTTTCTGTAACGTTTTCAGAGTTAGATAATGTTGAGTACCTGATGTCCCAAAACGTCTCTATGGGGGTCTCAGGATTCCACAGCTCTATGGTCTCTGGCTGGTGCAGAACTAACAGAGCCTGGAAACAGTCAAGACAGCAGACAAGGAGGGGCGGGGGACAAATAAACAATGGTTTGTCATTAGTATGAGTTTTACAGTATAACAAAAATAAGTAACTTAACCCCCAAACCACTCTTTTTCAGCTAAAAAACAAATGTATGTTGGTATTAAATAAACGTGCTGCCCTCTACTGGTTAAACCTGCTATTGTATGCATTATATTATAACATATTTACCACTCTGCTGAAACACTTTTTTTTTAAATCACAAATACTGTTTTGGGTTTTTAAATATTTCCAGTTTTATTCTTTTCATTTTGACATCACTGTAAAAAGTGAATGCAGCTCGAAACGTCCTGACTGAATGTTCACATTAAAAGCATTCCAGTAGCTTCAAAGATTTCAGAATGATTTATCACCTTGAGGAGATAGGGTTTCATGACATTTGCTCCATTTAAGGATGAAATAAAGTAAAAGATAAATAATTACAAAAAAATAGATTAAAAATATCAATATAAACATAAGAAGTTCAAGTTAAATGTCCAATTAAATAAGTAAAATATTGATATTAACATTAAAAAGTTGATATAATAAGTAATAATGCGCACCTTGTTTAACTAATGTTTTAATTACAAGTCGATTTACTAAAGAAATGCTAAACTTCACCTAAGGTGTTCCTCTTTTCTGTTTGAATAGTGTGACCATAATAGTCATTAGGCGCGTTCACACCGGAGTACTTTTCCCCGTACTTTTCCCGTTTAGTTCCGTTAGTGCCTGGAATTTTACGTTCACACCAAAAAGAGAACTTAGTTCCGAGAACTTTTACCCCCATTTTCAGTGCCTGCTAGAGAGGTGGTGCTTTCCTGGGGAGAAAAAAGTTCCAATTTCTGATTGGCTGGACGGATTGCAAACCACGCCCCGTAAAACTCAGAAATGTTTTGTGAAGCCACCATTGTATTTGCTGGCATTAGCATTATTAGCATTAGCATTAGCCCCGTGCACAAACAGAGAGAGAATAACTTATGGCAACACAAAAGAAAACATGGGAGCGGTGGAGATGAGGAGGTGTCGGCGTTCTGGTGATTTACTCGGAAGGCTTCAGTAAAAGCTGCTGGGAGTCCCAGCAGCTTTTACTGAAGCCTTCCCCAACTCCGGGGACTTCCGGCCGTGGACTTCGGGTGGCAGTATACGCTGTGAAGTTGTTTGCGGCAGTAAACCCAAAGCAGAAGAAGAAGTGACGTCAGCGGCTTCATTTGCGTAATCTTCCCTCATGGAATTTATTCCGGTGTGAACGCGATCTGTACTTAGTTCCATGGGGGTACTAAGTGCTGGGCACTAAGTACGGCAAAGTACTTGGTGTGAAAGCGGCTAATGAAAAATCTAATAATTAGAAAGGAGAGTTGGGAAAAATGTATCCTGAGCAACTGAAATTCTTCTCTCAAATTGTTCCCTTGTTGGCTGCCATAATAAGAGAAGTGTTAGTAGTTTGTTTAGTGAACGGGTGGGAGCGGGTCTGACCTCCATGGCTTCCTGGGACAGCTGGGTGGTGTTGGTGAGCGGCACCAGCTGCACCAGGCCAGTGATGAGCTCCGCCGTGCTGCTCTGCATCTCTGGAGCCTGCTTCACCGGGTTCTGACACACAGAGAGACAAGCTGGTGGTCATTTCATAAACTAACATCGACACGAAATACTCAAAACATCTCTGGGGAATAGGTGCGTCAAAACCTGGCTGCAAGAAAATAAGTCAACCTAAGGCTAATCATTATTAAACGTATCAATAAAGAGTTGTTTCTGAGCCTCACATGCAGCATGAGTCTGGGGTCGGTGGATGAGTTTGACCAGAGCGAGGAGGAGGCACTTGTAGCTTCGAGTGTCCAGTTCTGTGGCTTTCTCTTTATACTTAAGGCTGGTGCTTATCTTCCCTTTGAACGTCAGACTCTGTGGGGGGGCAGCAGAACACACAGAGAATCAGCATCAGAACACTTGATTCATCCTGGGACAAAGTGGATTCCATATATATCAAATCAAATAGAATTATACAAACATAAGAATTAAAGTGTGAAAAATATATAATAAACAAAGAGATGCATACAAAAATAAAAACTCCAATAAAAAAAAAGTAATAAACTAATATTGTATTTATATTTAGAGATAAATAATCAAAAAATATGTATTTGTGTAAACAAAAGTAGTTCAAGTAATAATGACTAAAATAAATATACTTATACAAACAGAACTTAAAGTAACAATGTCCAATAAGAATTTGCATAATACAAAATAAATCATAAAAAGTTAAAATAATAGTACTGTAGTAGTGTAAAGTCCTCTCACGGGTGTCATGCGTAGAGGAGCGTGGGTGGCGGCGCCCTGTATCACCCGGTTGAGCGTGTCGGAGAACATGAAGCGGAGCTCTCCGGAGTAGCAGTACACCGCTTCGATCTTAGGCCACCAGTCCAGGTGGGACTGAAGGAAGTCAGAGGGATACGAGTCAATTAACACGTCAAATGATTCCATCGTCACTCAGTCATGGAGAAGCTCTGCAGACTTACATTAGTGATAATTCTGTGCAATGAGTTGACCAGGACAAAGTGGAAGGTGGAGGGAGAGGAGGAGGCCAAGCAGACCTTCAGGGCACAGAGAAAAATCATCACCGGATTAGCTAGAGCAGGGGTTCCCAAACTTTTCAGCCCGCGACCCCCAAAATAACAGTGCCAGACTGGCGACCCCTGTCAAGGGGGGTGGGTGCTAGTGAATTCATTTAAGTTATCCGCACTCTCGCGGGATTATCTCCGCAATGGAGCGAGCTTAAGTGTAATCTGTTCTAGAAAAACTGTGTTTTTTTGGATTCCAAGAAGCATATAGAACAAACAATGGATGTATTTTATGCTGAAAGTAGATTTAGATGTTTTAGGAGTGAGATAGAGATTATTATCTAATATATGCATCTGATGAAGCATGGCATGAAGTCTGTTGATGATCAGAGGCTGTTAGAGCTGTTGGGGCTGCATAAACAGCATGCCATGCAGACCTCAGAGTTAAGTTTGGGCCTGCGACCGTAGTTTACTGTATTTTGTTTTGAAAATCCACAGCGGAGGTTTGTGTCGTACTTCATGCGGTGTATTTTGCATATCTCTCAGTAGCCAACGATCTGTGAGTCTGTTACCTCGGACATAAACATAGGGAGGCGTGTGGTGCAGTGGGTTGAGTGTCGGTGTTCGGATCACAGGTTCAAACCCCACTGCAGTCAGCATGTCGTTGTGTCCCTGAGACACTTCACCCCAAATTGCTCCTGTGGGGATTGCCCACAGTATTGAGTATGGAAGTCGCTTTGGATAAAAGCGTCTAACAAGTGACATGTGATGTAATGTAAAAAACTCCGTAATAAATGTAGTCTACATTGAGGTGTAAAACCTGAGAGCATTTTAAATCGCATTTGAACTAAATGCTTATATAATCTGTATTTGTATTGTTGATTTATTGTGTGAACGAGGCGATATAGAGAAGGTTAAGCTGTCATTATTAGGCTGTTTTGTACTGTTGGAGTGGTGAGCAGGCCTATTGTTTTTGGATATGTGTGGAGTCTTAGGTGGTCCGTGAGTGTTTTTTATTGGTTAAGTGTCCTTGGTATGAAAAAGTTTTAAGAAACACTGCGCTAGTGGATTGTCAACGGGGGGAGCCTCGCCTGCGGGGAATTATACAGATGGCTAGTCCGCCCCTGAAAAATATCTATGCACACGCTATTATTAATAATAAAAAAATGTTTTAATTGATTGGTCTTCCACCTTGGGAATCCCTGAGCTAGAGCATTTAATATTAAAGACTGTTCCAACGTTTACCAATAAATATATATTTTTTCCCAGTCCTACCTTAAAGTGCTGGTGTTGTGAGGATTGATGCGGAAACAAGAGACGAAGCCAGTCCATCATGAGCTCCACGTCAGCGTTTCTGGGGTCCCCGTCCCCCTCCAGAAGGGTTTCGCTGGGTTGAAGAGCAGAGCCTGGGGAAACAGAGCCACAGGTCACCTCAGGTGGTTTCAAAAGCACCTTATCTGGTGTGTGTGTATATATATTTTATAAATTACTTTTAATCTATTTTAATTGATCTTTTATTGGGCATTTACTTTAATTTCCTATTTTAATATTATAGCAGCTTTTTAATTTAACTTCTTATGTCTAAATAAATGTTTTTATTTGTTTTATTGATTAACTTTTCCTTTTATATCACTTTAAAAAAGTAGTTATTTCACAAAACCCAATATTGCACAGGATAAATAAAGTGTTCTTTCTGATCCATACACAATGCTAACTTTTTCATTTAAGAATGAGATAAAGAAAAAAAGTTAAGGAAAGTGTAATATGTAAGGGATAATGTGCAGCGACGCGGTCATTATGGGGAAAAGAACACCGACAGGCTGATCAGGAGCCCGACGCGAAGCGGAGGGATCTACATCGGCATGAAGGTGTTCTTTTCCCCATAATGACCAAGTCGCTGCACATTATCCCGCTTATTACACATGGCCACATTCTCAACAAAGTAACGACATGACCTCCCAATATTAATTGAAATGCCTTTTATGGATTTAGAAAATGATTTTAGTGATTTAAAAATAGTTTTATGTATTGATTTTAAATTGACATGCATCCGCTAAGAAAAGTAGTCCGTTGTTACTGTTTGAACTAACGTAGCAACGGCAGGAACTGCTCTAGATAGCGTTTTTGGGGAGCTTTTTGATTACAGATTTGAAAACATTGCTGCTTGCTTTAAAAGTAGCACAATTCATTATGTCAAACCTTGGAAAGTATCTAGATATCCCTGCCCTAATGCCAAAGTAACTGCACACTGAATATGTGTCGCCGTTTGATGTCTATGTCTGGACCGCTGCGTAAAAAGGAGGGTTTCTGCCCGTTACTTCTCCGCTGTTTTCTTGTCCCTCTTGTCTTTTTCTTTTCTTCACTGGGGACTCATCAGCCACTAACCATTCCTCCAAATTACTGTGCTCTCCAAATATTTTAAAATGAATGTTAAAATCCTCCATGTTGCTATCACACGACAGCGGAAAACTAAAGACAATCAGACAGTTTGCTTGCTTTTTAAACTGTTACATTTGAAAAACAGTTAGAGCGTCTCTTGTCTTCAGTTTGAAAAGCCAACGGTAGGAACTGCTTGCGTTTTTGAGGAGCTTTTTGATTACAGATTTGAAAACATCGCTGCTTGCTTTAAAAGTAGCACACTTCATGATGTCAGACCTTGGAAAGTATCTAGATATCCCTGCCCTAATGCCAAAGTAAACTGCCAACTGAATATGTGTCGCCGTTTGATGTCTATGTCTGGACCGCTGCGTAAAAAGGAGGGTTTCTGCCCCGTTACTTCTGCGCTGTTTTTAATGTCCCAGTTCGAAAAGCAAACTGCATGCAGTTTGCTTTTCGGCCCCAACGGTATACAGTTAAATCGACCGGACTTCTTTCTGAAGATTGTGAGCGTCCTTAACAACGGTCAATAAGTCCTTGACAGCGGTCTGTCTGTTCGGTATTAACAACGTGTCACGTGTTCTGAATTGACCAATCAGTATTCAACAAAGCCATGTAATAAAACAATATAATAACAAATAAGATATATCAATAAATATAAGAAGTTAAAGTAAGATGTCCAATAAAAATAAATTGGAATTACAATTGTTGGAATGCATTTTGAGTGACTGCCACAGACCTTGAGGTCCATGACGATGGACTGCACCAGGAGGAAGATGGTGGAGTGGTCCTCCCAGTTGATGTAGGTGGAGGCTTTACACAGTTTGACCACAGGCGGATGGCGGCGCTCTCCATCAGCTGCTTGCTGCCTCCCTGGCCCGCTAGAGCTTTCCGCATACTCTCTAAAAACAGTTTCTGCAGACACAACAGGAGGAAGGTGTGTGTGAGTGCTGGAGTCAGTCTCCACAAGGTGTGTGCGTGCGTGCATGCGTTCTGTCCTCCAACCTTATTGGCCTTGCTCTCTTCCACTGTGTCTTTGGAGATGGTGTGTGTGATCTCTGGACAGAGGATGAGGAGGATGATCTGCAGGTGCCACACAGCTGCCTTCCTCTTCGCACTCTCTGCCAAAGCTGTCCACCAGGTCAAACAGCTTTTCTGCAGCGGCGACTCACAAACACACACACACACACACACCACACACACACACACACACACACACACACACACCACACACACACACACACACACAACACACACACCACCACACACACCACAAACACACACACACACAACCACACACAAACACAACACACACACACACACACACACACACACACACACACCACACACACACACACACACACACACACACACACACACACACACACACACACACACACACACACACACACACACACACACACACACACACACACACACACACACACACACCACACACACACACACACACACACTTTACTTCAAAATATTATCATTACAATATAATTATCAGAAGACCAATGTTAAACATCATCACATGTTTTTTCTCTTGGGATTATTGATTTGTATAGTTGGTGCATGGAATGAGTCCTAAACAATTAATTGATTTGAAAATGATTTTGGCATTTTAATGCTAAAATAATAACCTCGTCCTGAAATGAGATCTGTGGTTACGAATCTTATGAATTGTGAATTTCCCCTCCGACGAATAAAGTTATTCTGATTCTAACGAGACATTTACTGACATAAAATATGTCAGTAAATGCATGTAATAAATCAAATATTTTTATCATAGAGACTTCTCTATGAACAGGATTTCATTTCCAGACAACTTTCACAATGAACATATTTTTGTCTGAAACAAGGCCTTGAAAATAAATATTTTTTCATCTAGTACCAACATGAATTTATTGATGACTGGCTTGGTTTGGATGCACTTTTTTAAACCAATTGTATCGTAGAACTCTAATATTTAATAATAACAGACATTTTAATTAACTCAAATTGTAGGCAATATGTGAGAGGTGCAGAGATTCAGTCCAAGTCAGAACAAATGTTGTTCCTACCTGCCATGTCTGCCTGGGGGCGCTGGTAGAGCATGGTGAACTCGTCTGGGTAATTCTCCACCCAGTTCCAAAACGCCTGTCGAGAGAGAACAGTGTGAGTACAAGAGGAACTTTACACTCCACCACCACGCTTCTCTGGTAACAGGGGTTAAAACTGCCTTATCATTTCTGACATTTCAGCTATTCATTCATCAGGGCACAGGGGTCGATCGGTCATCTGCTGCAAGAATCTGCATTGTTACAAATATCGGTATTACAAATGTAGTCTCTTCTCTTTTAGGACTTACTCAATAGGCGCATTCCACCCGCGGTACTTTTTCCCACAAAGGTTCATGAGAACTCTTTTATCGCGTTCACACCAAAAAGAGCCGGTACTAAAATTAGTTCATGAGAACCTTTTTACCCCCCTCGAAAGTCCCTGTAGAGAGCAGGGACTTTCGAGCGGCTCTTTTGTGAGAAAGAGCTATATTTCTGATTGGCTGGGCGGATTGCAAACCACGCCCCGTAAAACTCCCAAAAAGTTTTGTGAAGCCGCCATTTTATTATCCTCGCATTAGCATTAGCCCAGCCGCAGAAACGCAGAGAGACTAATTTATGGCAACACAAATAAAACATGGGAGCGGTGGAGATGAGGAGGTGTCGGCGTTCTGGCGATTTTACTCGGAAGGCTTCAGTAGAAGTTGCTGGGAGTCCCAGCAGCTTCTACTGAAGCCAGTCCCCTAACTCCCGGGGACTTCCGGCCGGGGACTTTGGGCGGCAGTATACGCCATGAAGTGGTTTGCGGCCTGCCAGTAAACCCAAAGCAGAAGAAGAAGAAGTGACGTCAGCGGCTTCATTTGCCTAATCCACCCCCAGGGACTTATTCCGGTGTGAACGCGATCTGTACTTAATTCATGAGAACTAAAGAGTTCTCATGAACTAAGTTCTCATTAACCTTTGTGGGAAAAGTAGTGCGGTGTGAATGCGCCTAATGTTCCGCCCACAACACTTTTTGAGTGACTACACGCCATAATAATAGTAATCAATAGCATCAAATGCTAATGTAGCACAGGCTAATTCATACTGGAGCTGCTCCTGTGGAGAACATAAGGCAGCAGATATTGCTGAAAGTTGGGTTAAATATTATAAGCCGCTTTCACACCAAGTACTTTGCCGTACTTAGTGCCCAGCACTTAGTTCCCCCCATGGAACTAAGTACAGATCGCGTTCACACCGGAATAAGTCCCTGGGGGGAGGATTAGGCAAATGACGTCACTTCTTCTTCTTCTGCTTTGGGTTTACTGGCAGGCCGCAAACAACTTCACGGCGTATACTGCCACCCGAAGTCCCCGGCCGGAAGTCCCCGGAGTTGGGACTGGCTTCAGGCAAATACAATGGCAGCTTCACAACACTTTTCAGAGTTTTACGGGGCATGGTTTGCAATTCGCCCAGCCAATCGAAATTGGTACTTTTTTCTCCCCAGGATAGTACCACCTCTCTAGCAGGGACTGAAAATGGGGGTAAAAGTTCTCGGAACTAAGTACTCTTTTTTGTGTGAACGCAAAAATTCCAGGCACTAACGGAACTAAACGGGAAAAGTACGGGTAAAAGTACTCCGGTGTGAACGCGCCTATAGAGATTACAGGTTGGGTAACAAGATGGTGAGTACCTTCTCTAAACTGTTGATGACTGCTAGCTGGGCAGGCTTCTTGAGAGCTCTAAACTTCAACACAGTTTCTGGAAAAAGAAAGAAAACAGAATGAATACACAAAAAATAATAACAACAAAAAGCATTCTTGGTAATTTCTGTAACAGATCAGGAATTATTTACAGAAGAAGAAACAGACGAAATGTGTGCCAACTGAAACATCACACTTCCTTTAAGAAGAGTGTAAAGCTGTATGAACAGTAAGCTCACCTTGAAGCAGTCTCTTGAGCTTGGAGCAGTCCACGTTGATGTACTGCATCAGCTCGATGTCGTGAACGTCCACGTTGTCCTCTGAGCACACCGTGAGCTCCTGTAGCCTGAGGAGACACAGCAAAGTCAGAGATGTCAAGAAGTTCAACATATTTTACCTTCTTATGTGTTTCTTATGTTTACATATACATCTTATTTTTTTAACATTTTATATTTTTATTGCGCATTCTCATTTTCATATTTATACATTTTTAAAAATAGTTTACGTTTGAACCGAAATAAAAATGTTCTCCAGGATAAATAAAGTATTCTGGGTATTTTGATTTAAGTTGAAATGCTAAATATAGGGACTTAAATAATGAAAAAAATAAAACTATTTTTTTAACATTAAATAATACAATTGAAATAAAACACACATTAAAGCACAGGATAATATGGAGTGTTTTTATGTACATTAGTGGTATCAAAATGTTCCATTGGAAACTGCAGAAAATCAAGATAAGGGATACTACTAGACCCCCCCCACCCCCAATACTTTAGCACATAATAATATCAGAGGTGGTTAATACTGCTCTGGCAAATATCAACAAAGCTTCCAGAAACATTTGAGATGTGGCCGTTCTTGAGAGAACACATGCTGCTGTGAGCTACCTGGTGGAGATGCGGCTGAAGACGGCGTTTGAAGTTGTTGCAGCTCAGAGAGAAGAGGACGGCTGAGGCGGAGGCCCGCAGCTCTGCGGCGTGCTGGTGGCCCTCGCGGTACGTGTGGATGAAATGGCAGATCTCCGGCAGCAGCTGTTTCACTAGCATGGTCTCGTCCAGACGCAAGCAGTCTTTGGATTGCTGAGGAGGGGGAAGGGGGGGGGGCAGAGAGCAGGAAGACAGTCAAGTGGAAAAGTCCACATGGTTGTCTTTATCGGTCAGAAAAGGTGCTGGCATCCTCCCAGCATTTTATCAAAAAGAACCGCCCTTCATATCACAACTATCTCTCGACAACATATCACGGCTTTTGTTAAACAGACTAGCTTCGCCCTCTTGTCTTTAATCCATCTATTTGTTTGACTTCCGGAAGATTCTTCCTCTCACACTTTGTTTGAATTAGGTTCACCGCTGAATCTGACAGCCGTAGAGCTAAGAGGGCCACTCCCGCAAGGTTGATACAAGTACAAAACTCACAGACAGCTACATCTAAAGTCCGTCCGTCAGAAAACTGGCCTTTTTGGTCTTTGCTATGATAGTTTCCGTCTGAATGACACAGTGAAAACAAGATTCTCCTAAACATTTCTATAGAAACGTCACCAGCACTTTTCTAAAAGTAAAAATATCTCTATAGCCACATGTGGCCACCTACAGCGAATCTACGCTGGTCAATGAAGTAACTTTTCCTGGCACAGGTCATCTCCCTTTTGATAATGTCGAACCCTGTGTGCTACATTACACATTAATACAGATTTTTTTTATTTCAGCACGTTAGCTATGGATCTTTTGTAAACCAAGTGTTAGGGTGCTCCTCAGCAACATTTCTGAGAAATTCAATTTCATCGTGCATTCACAATATAGGCATTGTGGGCCAATATCAGCACAAGGTCATATTATCATATGACCTTGTGTTTTTGTTTGGGCTGACAGAATACAGCTTTTATACCAAAATGAGGCTTCACAATGACCAAGTTTATGTAGTTTCCACAGACATAGGCACTTATTTACCCTATTTTTAACCAATACGCAATCATGCGATTAACCAGACACTTCTTCCCATGTCCATTGGTATGGACTCATTACTCAATATTATAGGCAGGATAATCTCCTCATAATAACAACACTTTTTATAATCGTTGAAGTTAGATTGCAATTGCCAGAAGTCAAAAGCTAACATCATGTTCAAAGGCTTTGGACCTCGACACTGCTTGGCTAAAGGTGGATTTGTGTTATGTCGGAGAACGAAATGTGAACATCTCTCCAGCTTCTGTTAACCACAGACCTAATTTAAATCGCTAACAAAAGAGTTCTCTTAAAAGGCCAACTCATTTCCGGGTTTAGGACTCATTCCTGGACCACTCTATCAGCAGCACAAACTCTCTCGCAAAAATAGAGAGATATTTCTATCTGAATGTGAATGCTAATGACTAAAACCGGTATAGGAAGCAGAGAGCAGTTCCCATCGGATGATCGGCTCCCACCAAACGCCTGCATATGTAATCCCAGCCTGCTGGTTCACTGAGGAACCTCCCAGGGATGAGGAGAGCGTGATTGATGGAGGATAAGTACATTACCAGAGGTTGTGTCTGGGTGAGCACAAACACAGCAGCAGAGATACTGAATCTTTGAGTTTGATTTCATTGCCAAAGCACAAGGATCGTAGGCAACAACCTAATCCCAACACAGGGCTTGTAATGGCATGGATCTTAGTCTTTAAAGCTAAGTTCTAAAACTTCAATTGTTTCCATTTGACAGCCCCAGTACAGGGTGTTCAGAGGGAAGACTCACCCCAGCCAGGCACTTCTCCAGGGTGTCCAGGATGATGAGCTGGGAGAGGTAGAGGTTCTTCTCCGAAGCTTCTCCAAATATCCGCTGTGAAGAAGATCAGTCAGAACATCATTAATCAGCATTAAGACATTAAGACACAGCATTAGGACACCTAAGGTTGGGAGTTGCTGACTCAGTCATATTAATGAACAGCATCACAATGCCCTCATTACAATATCAAAGTATAAACAAGAAAGAAAAGCAGAAAAAATATTTTGATTTATGTTTTTTGGGTCAAGGGATAACGGATTGAATGGATTGGTATTATAATCTATAGTAATAGATTGTAATATAGTCGGCTAAGGCAATGCAACCAGATAATACATTTAAAAAATCGGTTTCCTTGAAGCCCCGCCTCCAATCCACTGCTTCATGTCTGGTCATGGCTAATAATGCTAATGCCAGCAAATACAATGGCGGCTTCACAAAACGGGGTTTGGTTTTTACGGGCGTGGTATGCAATTCAACCAGCCAATCGAAATTGGTACTTTTTTTCTCCCCAGGATAGTACCACCCTCTCTAGCAGGCACTAAAAATGGGGGTGAAAAGTTCTCGGAACTAAGTACTCTTTTTGTGGTTGTGAACGCAAAATTCCAGGCACTAACGGAACTAAACGGGAAAAGTACGGGGGGCACTTTACAACCTCTAGTCTAGGACCTAATGGTTTAAATAAGGGCTATTCAAGTGTTCGTATTGGGTATATAATTATTTATAGACATCCCTAAATCAAAGGGAAATAGTCCTTTTTGATGCCAGCGTTGTTTTGACTGGCTACCATTTGTTTTCAATCTGGGTTGAGTGAAAAAGATGGTTGCTATCATAAACACAGGTGTGCTTAATGTCTCGTGACGACGCTCCGACTAAATGAATGACCTGCACTCCTGCAGTGATATACCAACTAGGGTTGCACGATATTGAAAAAAACTGACATTGCGATTTCTTTCCCCCTGCGATAAATATTGCGGGTTTTTTTTAAACTATATTAACCGGATGAAGGTATTTGTCCTCCTGTGCCTCGCTCAGTTTCACCGGTGTGTTGATGGTCTGCAAACCAGCGGGGCGGGGCCTGAGAGGTTGTGATTGGTGGCTTGCTGTGCATGCAGAGCCGGCATGTCACTCACTCAAGTTCCCCCGACATGAGAGCCGCGCAAGTTTTCCTTTTGTAGCAAGCAGCAAGATAATTGTAACATGACGTGTTTGAGTTAATTCACCTACTGAGCACTGAGCCTGTTTTTCAGGTCTCAGGCTCGAAAATGACATTCCCAGAACAAATGACCATATCTTCCCTTCTAAAAGGGTTAAATTAATAATCTTTTCTCTCAAAGTAATGATAAACCTGTGAGTTGGATGTAGACAAGTCAGAATCAATATAGATGTTTTTTATTTTAAAGAAAATTCAGATTGAACATAGTAAAAAACTGTAAATTATAGTGTCCGTCCAAAAATTATTTTGTACTTATAGTGAAAACTACCTTGGATGATGGTAGGTAGACTAAAAGCTTTAGGAATCCAAAGTACAACATATAATAAGTACCCTGTATCAAGATTGATGCAAAAAAGTGACATTTGACCTTTTTAGAGAGATTTAGCAAAAAACTTCTGGGGTCATTGGGTGGATTTTCCATATCTCTGGCCCCCCTTGGTCGATTTTGATGATGAAATGTCTTTATAACGCTAGAGCCAATGGAATCGAGGGGAAGTTCTACACACACCAACACATGAACAAATAAGGAGTGAGAGTGACGCGTAGCCAAAACCGGAAGCTGCATACACTCTGGTGGCTACCATTAGCAGCTAACTTTTGTGCTCCGATTTTTACATAAAAATGGAATTATGGATTATAAACAATTGCTTCAAAGCCACAGATACATTATTAACTATGGATCAACCGATTCAGCCGCGTTTTTTCTCGTTTTAATGCCATTGAACACGTCTTTTGATCAGATTGACAGCTACGGTGAGACAATCTCCCCTCGAAGCTACGTAAAGGTACGTGTTGTGATGTCTGTGTTTGCTTCCCCTGTTGCGAGATCGGATCGCTTAGATACTATACTTAAATAATCTGTGGAGTCTCAGCTTTAATCGGATATATTGTATGTGCAGTTTCGATAAGTAATAAGGGTATCTTTATTTTGAATTCTGTGCTAAAGTGTGCTAGCATTAAAAAAAAAGGAATAAAACCGCACGTCCCTGCGGTGTGAATATCGCGCATGCGCATATCGTGGTTATCGCCATGACACGATATATCGTTCAGCCCTAATACCAACACCTTTTATTAATGACTCAGTGGGGCTGAGGTTATACCAGAGTTCCCGTTATGGCGGTAATTACCGACTATGACAACCGGTAAAAATATACTGAAGACCGGCAAATCTAAATCTCTCCGGTCAAAGTGTCCGGTCAAAATAATTTCCGTTTGGGCGCAATACCGCAATCAGTTGCGCAACTTGCGCCACTTATGTGACAGACAAAAGAGTATGTGACAGACAAGAATAGTCAATTCTAATGTCTAACACTTAATGTGAGAAAGAGATGTCCTCTAGGGTTTGATTGTGCGTTGATCTGTTGGTAATGCCTCGGGGTTCCGGTGGGCATGTAAACAAATGCTGCGCTATACTTTGTGGCCTCAACCCGGGTTGCATAGCGACGCTTATTGTTTAGGTGTCTTTTAATAAGCAGGTAGTCCTATCATTAGCTAGAACTAGCTAGATCTGATCGATATGGACATAAACGCGAGTTAAAGTCTAATCTGGCGGGGAGAGAGAGCGAGATCAGCTGCTGCTGACGAGTCGACACGCAGTTCTGCATGATCACATGCAGGCGGTGAGCGGAACAAAACACACACTTCAGATTAGAATATCACACGTAGCTATTTTAATTACCCTCTCAAACTACCTAAACTAGTTTATAGATATGTTTAGTTTTTACTGTCGGGTTCACTCATTACTGATCCGCGAGCTGCATGATACTGACGGGCTGTCAGGAGAGGGAGAGAGCCGCTCCGTTTATTATTCCCGTGTTATTGTAAGTTACTGAACACTTTTGAATAGTTAATCTACTATAATTAGTTTGTTTAATATCGAATCATATTCAATTTTGTTTCCAAGCTCCAATAAATAACAAAGGAAGACCTTTGACCGGCACTTTTCAAATGTTTGTCCGGAAGATTTAAACTTTAAACGGACATGTTGACCGGCGAAAAAATATTCTGACGGGAACTCTGGTTGTACTTTTAAAAGTTCCAGGGTCCAGGGTATATTCCTAGTGGAACACTAAAAAAGATAGAGGCGAAAGAGAGCCATACCATGTGGTGGAAACATGGCATAATGAGACAACTAGAACTAGGAAAGATTTACTACGATGAACCCCACTCACCATGTTGTTGACATTTTTTGAGGATGGTGGTGAGGCCACTGATGACGAGGGAGAACTTGTACTTGGAAATGTTGATCAGACATTCCTTGTTGTGCTCTGTGCTGACTTTGGTATGGGTGTTCTGGTGTCCAACTTTAATAGGAAGCTGAAAGAAAAAGAAAAGAAAGAATGATGATGATTGCAGTTAACACACCACTCATGGTATCACATTACGGTGTCAATTTATCATTACGGAATATTATAATGTATTTTATAACATTGTGATACTCGTATTGTACCGCAATCGTCACATACTGTAGCATTTACATTCTGGTCATACTTAGATTTTTTTTTTATTAAAGCTCAAAGTGTTTGGAAATGGTGGTGAAGTCCCGCCCTTCTACTTCCGCCCCATGGGACCTTATTTCTGAAAAAATTATGCATTGAAGTCAATGGGGAGAGAAAGATTATCTTTCGATCCCGTTTGAATTGTGCCACGAATTACACATACGATGTTTGTCAATCTTAAAAAATAATTTCCATGTCAAAAAAGTCAGTTTGTGGTAAAACTGTTGAAATATGAAAAAATACGCAACTAGAAAGACTAGAATACGCAACTAGAAAGACTACAAATCCCAGAGTCGCGTAAGTGATGTCATTAACGTTACACTCGTGTTACTCACCGAACCTTGTAAAGCCGGTCCTGCATGCTGGCTCTTACGGAACCGACTAACTCCCCCTTGTGTGTACAGCTCTCAACATGCCCAGACTTGGAGTGATTTTCACCTCCATAATACTTTTCGTCTCATTCTGAAAGAAAGAGGTGAAATGTGCCAACGTGACGGCCATCTTGGTGTTGGTGACGTGTGCGAGACCAGAGATTGTAGTTCATTGAGCGGTTTTCACACAAATAAAGTGTTACTTCACAGTTTCACGACACATTTTTATTTTTTTGACTTGCAAAATGATCTTTTAAATTGACAAACATCATATGTGTAATTCGTGGCATAATTCAAACGGGATGTTAAAATAATCTTTCTCTCTCCATTGACTTCAATACATACTTTTTCCGAAATAAGGTCCCATGGAGGTCCACCGGAAGGGGAGGGACTTCGCCTCTCTATATAGCCAAGCGTATGCTATACAAAATTATGTTTGAATAAATTAGGGGTCAAATCCCTAAATCCTTTGGTATTGTTTATTTTATTCACAAAACATTATTGATTGATAAAGTTATAATGTGAGAAACCATTACTTTCACCTCGTAGGAAGTGAAGATAAATTGAATTAGATATACTAATGTTAAACTCCTAAATATTGGTCAAGGTCTTTATTCACCTTAAAGGTGGGGTAGGTAAGTTTGAGAAACCGGCTCGAGATACACTTTTTGTTATATTCCATGGAATGCTCTTAACATCCGATAGCAATGAATATCTGAAGTGCTTTGACAAAAAATCCATTAAAACAAGTCATCTGTAGAAGCTGTGGTACTGTAAAAAGCACGACCAATCATTTGAGCCGGCCCGGCTAAAATAACTGGATGGCCTACCTGCCTGTCAGCCTTCCATCTGTGCACAAACTTATCTCGTGCACTCATTGGTCATGTGTGCGTTCATAGTGTGTTGGAGGAGGGGCTCTGTAAGGAAGTGGCAGATTTTTTTCTGGCTGTGTATTTTCAAATTCTAGCGCACTCGAGCTGGTTTCTCCAACATTACCTACCCTACCTTTAACTGCAGAGAGAACCTGGCCTTATATAGGAGACAGGCCCATACTCACTAATTTACAATGTAAAGTCTTATTATTAGTGGTGCACGATAATTATCGGCCCGATATTAGGAATTATGACGTCATCCCGATAAACCCGATAAAACTATTAATAGCCCCGTTAATATACCACATATTTTTTGGGTAAAAAAAAACAAAAAAATACTGCGGTGGTGGGTGGATTGGGATGAGGGGCGCTTGTTTTTCACTCGGCGGCCTCCCGTTTTGCCAGTACTGTGGTATTAGTGGTTTAGGAAGAGGGGAGTTTTTCACAAATCCAGCGCTCCCTAACTCATGCCTGGCTGTGACGTAAATGGTCTGCGGCCGTGGAAGCCAGGACAGTAAACAAACATGTCGCCGGGTAGTATGGGACTATTTCAAAGTTTCAGAGTTAGATAGTTCGCTTGCTATTTGTATTAACAAAATGCAGAAGTTCCACGAGGAGGGAAAAGGCAACGAGCTATAATACTTCCAACCTGATTAGTCACCTGAAACATCGCCATCGCTACGATGGTGTGTTAAAAGCGTACGAAGACGCCTGCGCTGCTAAACTAGCGGCGAAGCCAGCTGCAAAGGCACCGGGGCTTTTACCTATCGACGAGGCTTTTGAAAAAGGCAAGAAGTTTGCCAGAGACGACCCAGGGTTAGTTTTGTTCATAGTAGTAATGCTCATGTTTTTTGCTCACTACTAGTCTTTTTTTACCACCAGGTGTGCAAAAACTACAGGTACATTTAATATATATGTGAGGAAAACTTCTGTGTAGCAATGTTGAGGTGAAATGATGGAGTCTGGGTCGTCGTTAGCCAAAACACTGAGAGTTTATTAAAGAGTACAATTTAATACAGCCGGAGAGATTACATGGTTTCACACTGCCCGTGCAGCCACCAAGTTCATCTCTGAACACAAAGGGAGACACCGCGCACCACATGAGAAGAGGCGGAACCACAGAAACCCGCGCTTTACCTAATCAATGCCAGATGTCGGGACAAAGGTCTATTCCTGGTCTTGTTATCGGTTATCGGTATCGGTATCGGTCTTGAGGAAAGCAGGAAGTTATCGGTTTCAAAAAAACCAATATCAGTGCATCCCTACTTATTATCATTGATCATATTCAGTGTGCCCACTCTTTTTTACTCATCTTATTCAATTCATCTAGTTCTTTTGTAGGATATCACTTACTTCATGTTTATTTTTCATCTTGATAGCTTGAGAACATTGTGAGTATCCACAGTTATATTTCCATTAGTAAAACAACTGTCATGTTCTACACACCCAAATTATTTTCATTCACGTATCATTTCAAGTGCTTTTGTACTTTTCATTCACTATTAATAACTTCCACTTCCTGGTCTGATATTTCACATTAAACCTTGCTTGCCTAAAAGGCTTTTGACGTGAAATGCCTGCAATAAATATTGAGTTCAATAGTAATGCTTCTTGTTTGTTAAAAAACAAGAAGCAATTACGGAAATGTTGGTGAATAAACATTTTTGGTATGAGTAAATATGACAACTCAAGATGCTGTACTGTAAAATCCTGAAAAACGGCATCTTGTGTTTTCTGTAACCAGCAATCCATTGTTCCAACATAATGTTCAAAGTCAAGTTTTTGTTCAAAAATATACATTTTTATTTGTGGTGTCATAACAGTAAAGCCTAGTAAAGGCAAAATGAAATGTTCTATATTAAAAAGACATCTACAAAATCATTACGATGCTACATTCACTTGTAATAGGGTTACTCATCGCTGTTCTTGCCCCATGTGACTTTGGTGAGTGGTTAAGATCTCACGGGAGAAGTGTGTAAGCCTTTATGGGCAGTAAACTGACTGACGAAACTGGATGATATTTGATGGTTTTCAGGTTTCCATCAAAAGGTCCTCCCACTACACTGCTGAGTTTCTGATGGAAGGAAAGAGTTATTTGTGGCTAAAGTCTCACTAATGTTGCACTTGAAATTTGGCTGCATTGCTGTTTTTTATTTACAAGTAATGTGATCAAATTTGAAATCTTGCTGGTTTTTGTTTACAAGTAATGAGATCATAACACATGCAATTGAACAGCTGCTCAAATAGCTGTAAAGTGAATTTCCTTCTGAAACTGAAGGGGCGCCATATCTCAGAAATAACAATTCTCTCATTATGTTGCGTAAAATGGAAAAGTAATTCACTTTACGCTGTTTTGACTGAATATTTCTCTAGACCAAAGTTCTGCCCAACATTCGTCATTTGTACCAGGCCAACAAATTGGACTCCTAATTGAAAGCCATGGGACAGGAACTCAATACAGCTCAATGGTTCCATCATGAAGTCAAACTGTCACACACCATCACATGCGCATAATATACGATTGTAAAACAGGCCAGGCCTCTGTTTGCAGTCCAGTGCAGCACAGCGCGGTCAGTGAGCTCTTTGTTTCACACAGCTAGGGCCCAGCCATTCCTCCAAAGGTCAACACATTGCATTCAGTGTCCAGTTTATTAGGTACACTAGCTTAAACATATGCAGTCCTAATACAAAAGTCCTGCTGCAATAAATCTCTCCTTCCAGGAGGTTATTATGTTGATACTGTTTTAGGTGTTTTTATTATTTTGTATTAAATACATAATAGAAAGAGTCAAAATACCTTTTTTTAGTTCAAGGGTGTTGTAACCGTTTTAATAGACTTTCTTTTTCCACCACGAAAAAAACGCTGATGGCCAAAGTGAGGCTCACCACATCCAGTTCTTATTATACATCCATGGGCACATCTCTAAATGCTTTCTCCAAAATGGGATCAGAATCTTTGGGCAGGTAGAAAAAGTCATCATTGTTGAGTGATGAATTAAGCGTATTTGAAAAAATAAGCCTGGCTCTCCTTGCAATGATTCTATGGCTGCTCATTTGGCTTGAAGGTGAATATTTGACCTTGGAAATAGAAGTTTGACATGAAACAAAAACCATTAGATGTGGCTGAAATCCACAGAATCACCAGTATGTGGAACTTGTGATAATATTTAATTGTCAAATATTTGAATTGCATAGCATTGTTACTTACTTAAAGATGTCAGGATTCTAATTTGAAAATCAATCAAAACAAGGTTTGTGATTCAATCTGAATAAAGAGCAGGAAACAACCATTATCCAAGTCGTTGTTTTTCCTCTTCCGCTCCTACTTGCGCATGTCGAAGGAATAAACAACTTACTAGCTTACCAGTAGACTTTAGCTAGAAGATACCCAAGAGCAGAGTACAGAGAGCCTGCAGCTAGGAGACAATGCAGCACAGCTTAAAGGTGGGATGTGGCTCAAATACAACCCAGCACAACTTACAGGTGGGCTAAATCCAAAAAACCACCACAGTGCAGCTTAATGGTAAGCTAAAAAAAAGACCACAGCGGAGCTAGTGGTAGCATCCAGCGTAAAAGCCACCATAGCGAAGTAATACTAGTTTCTAGGCTGTACCCGAATATTCGTTCGTTGGCGTACTATTCAGGTTTCAAATTTCGTTATTCGGATATTCGTTTGTTTTGTTTTTTATTGAAATCTCCAATATCAACGTAAGAGCTTGTGCCTCTTCGGGGGGGGTGCCAACACTTAACCATAAACGTTATCGTTTACTTTCTCCGTCTTTATATGTAGATATTACTTTTCCCCATTAATCTCCGTCACGTTGTTCCATAGCAACAACAACTTCCGGTAGACAGCGCAAACCTCTCCTTCATAATAAAGCATGTCCATAATAAATAGGAAGCAAGCCAAATTACACGTTGAGACATATCCTACAACTGCAACGAAAGAAACAAACACAAATGCAATATCCTTTTCCATTTCAAAGAACACAAATTGGGTTACGTTAATAAATAACTATAAGACAACAATACTGTAGAATAACAAAATGAATACCATGAATAAACCGAAATACACGTGTTGAAGCGGTTCGCTGCTGATTACTACGCCCCCCCCCACCGCGCGGGGCCGAATATCCGAATATTCGCTGCTGATTACTACCGAATATCCGAGCCCGACAAATGGTATTCGGGACAGCCCTACTAGTAGCCTAGAGCTAAAGACAAAACAGTGATGCTTATCAATAGGCTGCAGCTAAAAAAACAACAGCATAGATTTCCAGGAGCTTGCAGCTAAAAGACACCACAGAGCAGCTCACTGGAAGGCTACAGCTAAGAGACAACATGTAAGTTGGCTTTTTGTGAATGAGGAAGCTCACGTTGTTGTTGTTCATTTCATTTTAAACAAAGTATTTCAATGTTAAAAGGGGCCTTTAGCTATATAGTGGATATGTCAACTTGTCACCAAGTTGCCCATCCTTTTATGTGTAAATGACAGTTATCTGGGCATAGATCAATGATGTGGTGGTCTTGACAAAATATTCATGTGACATCAGTGCAGTCATTTATTGTGAATTTAACCGATTTCAGTCTAGATACAAAAACTCTCAAAAATGGCGCCCAGTGCCCCGTGACTTGAATCTGTTTTCTAAAAACCCCAAATGTCAACTTCAAATAAATCAAAAATAACAGCATGAGGGCCAGACGTTTTCAATTTGGTGACCTCTTCTTGTTTGTATTAGAAATTGGTGTTAGTTGGATGCTGCTGCAGATGAACTTGAGCATATTGTTAGTCACTGGAGCAGAATAGAAACTGTCCAAACCATGCATCACGTATACTTCTTACTGTTGACCAATCACACTTTTGACATGACCCTGTTCAAACTTCACCCCTCTTGCTAGGGTCAAAAAAGCACTACGCAGAAGCAACCAGTGTACCTGTCTTTCATTAGGCACACACAATAACTCAATCATAACACTAAACACACCCTGTACCTACAAAATAATACATTCAATTATATATTCTATAGTTTTAAATAAACACTGTCACTATCATCATTGTCATTTAAAAATACAATGGTTTGAAGATTATGATCAGGCTATATCATTTATGTTGTGAGACTGTACTTTAATTTACCACACACATTACTTAAGCAAGGGAAATGTTCAAGTGTCAATAATAAATAGCATATTTATTGGGACTGGAAGGCTTTAGTTGGGGCTTAGGATAACAATAACCAAGAAGCGGATACAAACACCTTAAAACCAATGGTAGTAATCCAAGCTGAGCGGCTAAAACCCTGGCTTCAGTGCATGATCTGTTGAACTTTACACCAGAGACCAAGACTTTTAAAGACTTAACACACACAAAACCGGGTGGTCACATTTCCCTTCAAACGACAGAGAATTGTGTTAATGCAAACTGATTTGGGATTACTGAGTGCTGAGGACATTAATGAACTATTAACTACACCCTGACTGTATTTCTGTTATTGGGTATAAACATCGCTTGACTATTACGGAAATATCCTCAGTTAAGGTTATACCAAAGACTGTTGACATTTAGTAACAGTTTCAATATGAGAAAAATTAAAGTAATAGCCCATGTAAAATATATCTCAAGAGATAGATTCCTTGTGAGAAATAAAAACATTTACTATGGATATTTAATCTGCAATATCAAGCAGACTACATGATAAAGAATGTTTAAAAAAATAGCTAGGAGGGAGAGCAGTGGTCACTTATTATTTTGTATTTCCCTTCAAACGACAAAGAAAAGTAGAAATGCAAACTGATTGGGATTACTGAGTGTTGAGCACATTAACGATGAACTATATCCGACTGTGATTTCTGATATTGGGTATATAGGCTGCATAGCTTGACTATTACAGAAGGCTCTTCAGTTAAGGTTTAATTTAACAACAGAGGAGTTTTACAAACACTGTTGACATTTCTATTCACAGTTTCAATATGAGTAAATGAAAATGATTGCTCATGGTAAATATATCTCAAGATAGAGTCCTTGTGAGAAAATAACACCATTCACTATGGTTGTTTCACCTGCAATATCAAGGAGACTACATGATAATGGATCATTAAAAATAGCTAGCAGGGAGAGCAGCAGTCACTCTTACTACTGATGTTTCCTCACATAACTCTAACCTCATTAGCTCATATGAATACAGCGTGCTAACACAGTCACATCTTATTTGTTTACATTAGATAGCTAGGCCTGCTAATGTTAGCTACCTAGCTGGCACGAAAGAAATGTCAGCTTAGGGAACTTTAATTGACACACAGACGCTTATGAGCAAGTCCAAATGTCCCTGCCATGTTGCTTTATTGTGTATTATTTTGCAATGGGGCGGCTGAGTCCGTCTAAATCCCGGGACAAATGCGGGATACATCTGCTAATTGATCGTGGAGACGGCGCTAGCTAGAGAGACCTCATCTTCAGTGTTTTGCAGCTGGGACAAGCAACACAGAACACATTTCCGTCGAAAAACTAGTCCCGACGGGATAACACTCCCTAAATGTTGTAATTTAAAACGTCGTCCGTGTAAATATAACGTTTGCCGGGGTAGTGGGGCCCTCGAGACTACCTAAGCTTGCTACACCCATCCACTGAATAACCCATCTTTACCTGCTCATCAAATCTAGTAATCACGGCCCTGGACCCAACTCCACTGGTTTGTGCGCGCCATGGCCGGGCGGAGGGGACACCGCACGCTGGGCTGCTAAATCCAAGGTGTGAGGGGCCGGAGCTTGGACAGACTTATTTATGAATGAAAATCTGCCATGAATCGATGGGAAAGGACGAAAGGGGCGAGTAGTATTTTTCCCTTTCTGTAGGCTTCACCCATGCCACCGCCATGACAACACCACCGGAAGTCTTCTTCAGAGAAATTGATGGGAGGTGTTGGAGACCAGGGTCAAAGCTAGCGGGAATGAAACGGAACACTTCCAGGCACAATCTTCAAAGTAACGATTGTTGACGTTTGTTTGTTGATGTTTTTCGAATTAATAAATACAAATATGGATGTTTTTTGGGAATGATAAAGCGACTACAGAGGTAGAAAAAACACTTCACACATAAACGTGAAAAAAACAGCCAAGAAAATACTCTGTGTTTGTTAAACGTTTCTGTGTTCTGTAGTTTTAGCCTCTGTGGTCTTATCTGCTTTCAGGCTGAATAAAATGTAGTTTAGATGTAACAACCTCCAGATTTACAGGGATTAGCCCACATAATAATGTGAGTAGATGTTCTTCTCAATGAACTGCAACAGTTTTCATGTTATTGTTTTATTTTGACCATGATTATCATGACTTCCGCTGCTAATGGAGGAAATTCTGGCAAGTGGCGGATCGTTTACAGCGCATGCTTAAAGTAAGATCAGGCCTATCAGAATGTGTTCAGTGCTAAGAATGGATGTTTCTGTTTTCATTATTAAATCTTAGTCATTCTTAAAATAAATGTACACAGTATTGAAAATAAACACCACAAATAAAATAACCAAAATTACACGAAAAAAATATTATATACACGAAATTATATTTTCGTTGCTCTCACCAGCTCAGGAAGCTACTGTACCGTTAAGAACAGTAAAGGTGACAAATCAAAGAGTAAAATAAAAAAATGAAATATTGTTGCAACAGATTGTGAGGGTCTGAAGTGATGTTTCCTGACTGACTGTCCATTTTAGTCTGTTTCAAGGGCGCTGTATCGTTTTTATATACAAAAGTGGTGGGGCACAAACAACTTAGATGTCTATATAAGCTTCTGCAGTGAGGTTCATGGCTGGTGAGGCACTGTTCAGGTTTACAAATATTATATTTTGACCTAAATCAAAATATAATATTATTTTCAAAAGCTTTTTTTTGTCTGATGCTTCGATTAATTTTAAACAGACAGTTCAACAAAAGGATACCCACAAAATGTAATTTTATCATTTAAATATTGAATTGTTCTCTCTTAGTATCCCATTTTCAATAAAATTGCGGTCTTACCTTGACTTGAAGATGAAGTCCATTTGCCTATCCTTCTGGACAAAAATCTCTATTACTTTTTTGTAAAAGTCGTCCTTATCTTCTTAAAAGTCTATCATAAATCTAATCGATAGATTTATGATTCGAAAATTATAAAAGTAGGGTAGACATGTGGATATTATCCGGCTGAACAAAACGTGCATTTATCTAACAGATACGTTTCCCACAGATCTTATTTCTAGCTATTTTCTAAAATCCTATGGAGAAATCTCATTGCTTTTTTGTGGAGGGAACCCGTGCACAGCTTACTTCCGGGTTTTAGGACGCGTCTCTCGTCTGCTCTTCACACACCACACTTTTCGCGGCACACGTACTTACGCCATCAGCTCTGAATTATGTGAGATGACGTATGGTGGGGATGGCAGCTCAGTGCCCAATGGTCATTATTTTTTGCCACACACATTAAATAGGACAATACTCTGAGCATGCGCAGTGTAGTTTTTTACAGTCACTGTTCATTTAGACAGAGAGAGGGAGAGGCATGATCGAGTTTTGTCCCACATGGCTTCTAAAACAGCTCAATGGGCCACACACTGTATACACTAATTAGAAGAACACAGACTAAAACAGCAATGTACAGACGAATCAGATGATTAAACATGATCTTAAAATATATTTTATATATATTTAAATTTATTTTTTGCATTTTGTTGTAATCATTATTTGTAATACTTTCTGCTGACACTGTGCCACCTGCCCCTAATGACCAGTCGCCACTGCAAGGGCGTAGGGCAGGATATGTTCCGTTTCAAGAATAGGAGGGGAGGGGACCCTCAATAAGCAGGCTGTCTTAGAAATGTGAGCATCAAACTCTGCTTCATTTCGTGCATTCTGGTGATTTGTTTATATGCCCTAATTTTGTATCATAATGTCTTTACTTTTAGACAAAAACATTTCCAGGTTGATGTGGTTTATCTTGAACATGCTTTCACTGCATCTTTTTTGTTCTGATAGTTTGACCCTTTAATCATACTGGAATGAAAAAGATGCAGAAGCAGGGAAGTATGGTCAGACTGTCACAAAGATGAAATGGGAGGGGGCTTTGTAGCTGCAAGGAACATTGTTTCCCCTGGTCGAGGTCGGTACCTGCTGGGGTAAAATTTGTATTCCTATTTCAAATTAATGATGGCTTGTTAAAGTACAAGCAAAGATATTTCGGTCCAGCTTATGACATTATGGTCAACATTTACTGTTACTGTGAAAATAGTAACAGGGTGGACATCAGGGACGTGCACAGACATTTGGAGGGGCCTATTGCTCTAAACTGGAAACCCCCCCCCCCCGAAAAAAATTCTAACTTGTTTTTAATGTAAAAGGATCATAAAATAAAAACACAACACTGTCAATGCAAGTGACCCTCAATTGACTTTTGTGTCCCCTCTAAATTCGTTATTCAGGCACATTTTTTGTTTTGCGGTCCTTATCTCATAAAAATATCTAATGTTAGTAACTATTAAAGAAAACATGGGGACAATCCTGTTTTAAATGTAGTTCGACCATTGTAACTGTTGTGCAGACATACTAAGGGCTTCTAACTAATTACCTAAAATAAACTCACTAATTAATGAAACCAGTTCAATACGCATTAGTCTTATTCTTATAATTTTTTATGAGCACAATAACGGTAAGGAATCTAATTACTTATTTATTTAGTATTCCATAACTTAATAACAGAGATGGACAAACTAAAGTGGTCATTTTCTCACATTTTAGTTACTATTGTCCAGTTTCATTGAATATTTTCAAGGCACTGTCATCAGCCATCCAAAGTAAAAACATAGATGATTGAACCCTTAACTATGCATTAAGGCCAGAATAACACTGACCATATTCAATATCGGTAGCCGTAGCTAAATATAAGGTCATTGGGTCTGGATCTCATTAATTATTTCCTCTACCTGATTCTACCAAGACAGATACAAACTGAGATACACTTTATACAAGACATAAAAATGCAACATTAATGTGCATAAATCAAAACTCTCGAACACTAAACAAATTCCAAATTATTTAAAAATGAATTTATTGAACTGAAATGATACAGTTTCAAATCTGTTAAGGCACCTTGTTGAAATCGCACAGATGAATTAAGTGATTAAAATGTATGCTTGTCAATAACTTAATGGACACAAATTGGGTAACATTCACATTAAAGATGAAAAGATTCATGTGTGTATAAACCTGGTATTAACATACTGGACTGGAGATAACACATTCTACAAATACATTCAATAAAAAACTCTGGTGCTGCATTTAGGAAAAAACGGAAGTGTACTTTGTCCCTAAGTCATACATACATATTCATACAGATATGTGTGAGTGCTGTCCAAAGAGTGGTACATGTCAGAGACCGGGCTAATGTTGCATTAACTAGAAATATTTAGATCAGCACCGAGTCAAAGGTTTAAAAGTTTTTTTAACACCTCTGGTCAAACTTGGCAAGCTGTGCACGTGTCCTTTGGTACGCATGGTATTGCATCTTTTTCTAAGACATCAACATGAATCTATCTGCTACTCTGAAATAAACAGGATAACATTTTCAATCGTCTGAAGGCACAGAGGTTTCTTCGCTCAGTTTGATTTCTTCTTTTTGCCGCTTCAATCCTGTTCAGAGCAAAGAGGGATCCTTTGGGGGATGTTTTCATTGAGACAATTGGTAGGCTAGACATGGGCCTACAGAGGGTAGTCTCATGAAGGGGGTAATCCTTTGGGTATAGCCATTGTCAGTTTGTAGTTTGTGTGTTCTCAGCAGAACTTGAATGTCTACTCTATAGCACCAGGCCTGGTGGCCACATATACAAAGACGACGATGAGCAGCACCACCACAGCCAGTGTAGGCAGAACTATGGTGGCCACCTGCTGTTGGGCCTCCTGCATGGCCTGCTTACGCTCCTTCTTGTCCTTGGACGTTTCTTTTTTGGCTTTGCCTTTGAGTTGCCTCATGTTGTCTCCAGGACCGCTCCTCTACTTCTTTGTTGTGCTCACAGGAACCTGACAAAGACAGATAACACGGGTCAGAAAAAGGTCTTAAGCTTAGAATTAGTCACAGCAAAATGTTCAACAGGAAAGAGTTAACATCTTTGTATAAAGATTTTTTTAAATGTAACTGTTGACCGAAGTTACCTTCCAATAGCTCCTTCAAATATTAGCTATTGGATCTTTCCTTCGGATATTTTAATATTGCAAAAAATAAGGTCTGTTGAAATCAGTTTTGTTCAACAAGGTAGTCTCCATATATTAACACCACTTTTATAATAGATCTAGCAAAAATGCAATCGCCAGAAATAAAAAGCTAACGTTAGGCTATAAAACAACCACAAGACTGGCCCATGACTTCACGTCAACACTGCTAATCTAAAGGTAGACTCGCGTTAGGTCTATTGACGTTTATCAGTCTCGAGAAACTACTGTTTGTAAGACACGTAAAAGCTCTACACTCGCCATTGGGGTGTTTACTGCAGAGAACAAAACTCAAAGATCTGTTTAGCTTTTATTAACAAAAGAATCTTGTTTGCGGTCTAAAAAGTAATTCCAGAAAACATTGACCTTTGAGACACGGTACCCCTGGAAGTGCTAAAATGCTAACTAATTTCTGGGTTTAGGACTCATTCCTGCGTCGCTTTGAAGCGAGCCTCCAAAAGCAATGTGTCATGGCAGAATTAGTCAAACACCTTGTTTTGTGAGGACTTTTGGGCTGTTAATGCATGTAACAGAAAAAGGGTCATTACATCCATGAGTGCAAAACGTTTCTATAATCCAGATCAGGCAAGGGGTTCTTTTTCGGTGGTGTGACCAACTACAATTGTTCCGTAAAAACCTCCTGAAGGAGAAGCTGATCCAAAATGTTTGGTTAGCTTGCAGCACGTCCATCCTACGCCCTTAACCATGATAGAGAAACATTTATTTAACATCTTGCTACTTTTTTGTGTGTTTTTTACCGGTTTTACTCACAGTTTCTGGGGTTTTTTAGAGGAGGAGACTGTTCCTAGTGGATTCATCAGAATCTTAAATGATAAAGAAACAAATAGAGCAAACATCAGTGGTAACTTAGCTTGCAGTCCCTGGACATTTGTTGTTGCGCTGGCAGCATCTGAAGTGAAATGGCTTTATACATTGATGTACGGGTTTTCATCACCTAATGTGTTTTTAGTTTTTAGTTACCTCTGTGGAATACTGAAAAAATAGCCTGAACTATGAACAACTGCATATTGTGCATTCTACAAAAATAAGGATGTGTGGCCAATGTGAAATGTTTCAGTTTTTGTATTAATGTATTAT